GGGGGGGTGGGTGTTGCCAGGGGGAACCCAGGCAAAGCCAAAGCGGAGCTCCGCCAAAAGCAAGGAGCAGAAATGAAAGTTTCGAAATAGCGTCCAAACAACCGCAAAGGACGGGACCGAAGAGAGCTCTGCGCGTCGCATCAGCCCTCGATGGGCTGCAGCGGGGATGTGAGCGTCCCCGGCCCGCTGCATGGAGAGGGGTAAAGACACAGAAAATCCTTGTTATTTATTTATTTATTGGAAGCGATGTACGGGTGACACCCAGCAGGCATCTGAGCCCTGAAAAAAAAAAACCACACCACCTCTGGACCCAGACGAGAACAAGAAGAATGAGACAGCAGCCTTGACCCCTACACTGCGAGGAAGGTGAGCAGAAAGAAAGCAAGAAAATACAGAAAAGCCATGCAAGCACCAAACCTGTAGATTACTGCAGCTCTTTTTTGCTTCACTGAGGACAGATACTTCACTGACAGCCATGCAACATAAAGGCATCATGCTGATTGTCTTCTTGGAATATTTTATTTCTGGCCATGGGGAAGCAGGTAAGCAAAATAAATCAATATTGTCATTCATGAAACAATTTATCCTAAGTTTAGCAAGGGGAAAGGGAATAGAAATCAGGTCTGTGTGTCAAAAAAAAAAGTATGTCAACATCTTTATTTTAGATGGGATTTTTATCAGGAATCTGGATTAATCAATGTATACAAATACTTCTTATTCCTTGCAATACACAGCTTTATAGTTCAGTCTCCTCCCGAAGCCTTATAATAGGATGTATAGTTTCATTCAACCTTGAAAGAAAATAGTGTAGTATTTTTGTGAACAAAAGAGAAGTAAGAGAGAAAGAGGTAGATGGATTGCGATGTGATGGATATTTGTTTGGAGAATGAAACACTGCCTTCCTAGGCAGGACAAGAGTGAAATGACAACAGCCTTGGACAGCATCACTGTAGAAATCTGAATTATTTTCTGTTAACTTCATTTTGCATCATTAAAAGTTAGAGATGCTGTATAGGAATTACTATTTATCCAAGACAGTCCATTCATTCAGTGTATTCCCTAACTTAATAGTTAACATGCAGTGGTCAAGATTAAGTTAGCATTAGAGACAAAATGGATTAGGACAGAACGAGAAGTTGACTAGTTGTGGCTGTATATGTGGGTGTACAAATAAGCGTATATAGGAATGATCCAGCTGTAATGGTATTCACACACGGTCCTAAAAATACCTGGATTATGATGGAGAAAAATTCCTTAAGGGAAAGGAAGCAAAGCATTAGATTGTTTTCTTCTTGCTGTGGTTTAATACATCTTTAAGGTTAAAAGGGATGAATTATGCAGATCAGGTCAGAAAAAATGTAAGTAAGTATTGATAAATCAACAATATATCCTTGGTGACTTTTCCTTGGAGATCCTGGCTTGGGATCTGTCTTTCTGTACAGGAAAGCATACTAGAGGTTTAGATTTCACCTGTGTGCTCAGAGTATTAGGACAGGAACAACACTCCACATGCAGTGACTCGAAAGCCGTTGAAGTGTTCAGCCACCCTGTGAGCTCCAGTAAAGTCCAAGGCAGATCAGGTGGCTTCAGCTCAGATTATTCCCCAGCTAGAACCCTTTGATTACATAGACATCAGATTTCCATAACTGCAAAGGTTATTTTCTTAAAAACTGAAAATAGCTCATGTATTTACAATCCTGTATATTATCCAGTGACTCATTTGGGAAAAAGGCTGGTTATCACAACATGACAGGGAATGAGTGGAGGGAGGACGTGGTACCTTAATCTTCTTATGGTCTTCTCTTGGGCATTCACTCGTTTCCCAAGCTAGGGCTCTCCCTATAGGACACATATGTTGACACACAGCACGGAAAGGTTACAGAAATGTCTTGTAAAGTCACTCATACTGCTGCAGAGCGCAACCTGATATAAGCTAGCCTAAATATCCTCTGCATCCAATTCACAAAGTGAAAACCAGTCTTCAGGGAAATGCAGCCCACAGCTGACTGCTTGGAAAGTGAATTTGAGGGGAGGGAGCATGTCCTGTAGGAGCTAAAAACACCCAGAATAATGGTGTAAAACATAGTGAGTAACAGCAAAATAACTGCATCCTGCAGGTGATAATGCTAAGGATGCAATGTCACTTTAAATAAACACACTCTGCTTGGTCGAAAGGTGGCACAAACCATAAGCC